TTATAACTCCGCGTTACAACATTTGTACGTGTATTAAAGCGATAAAAAAAATATATCACCGGTTAACGGCAGTATTGGCTTGAAAGCAAAGAAAAACATTTGTTAAAAATCCAACTTCGTTTTAATGACTTTTCATTACTTACGTTGTATAGCAGACAGATATAGTAAAAAACCTATTAAAAAACTATTGCACAGTAACGATCAACTATACACTTGTGATTGACTAATATGATACACCTCTCATATGTCAATTACATATGGCCGGCCGTCTCCTTGAACTTAACAAAAAAAAAATCACTGTTTACAATTGTCAACTTCATTATTATAAATGAATTTTGATAAAGATCAATTTTGAATAACATCACTCAATGCCGATGTGTAATGCTTTTATACGATCAGATTTTTGCCAAAACGTCTTTAATATAATAATAGTAATTGTTATGAAATCAAATTTTGACAGGCATCTCGTTGAAAATGATTGAATTATTTTTTCCCCGTTTAGCGCTTACGAACGTTCATAGTAGTTAGTTGTAGCACACAAGGTCCTATTGGTATTTTTTTTTTACAAAGACAAAAAATCACCTATTGTTTTGAAAACCATTATTTATAAGAAAAAATATTTAGATAATCGTTTGGATATTATATATTTTTTTTTGTTAACAAGTTAATAGGTAATTGTGCCCACCATTAGCGGTACATAATCCTCGCTCAAGGTATAAACATTGTTATTTTAAAATAGTTTCTTAGTACGACATTGCAAACTGATTATAATCATCTCATGCAAAGAACTAAACTCGTCTTCTGCAGCCTAACAAAATTAAATCTAAAATGTCAATATTTTATAAAACTTATGCAAGATGGTTGACAAATTACACAGAATAATATTTTAATATTATTGTTAGTCACGTATAAAAAACCCTAAGCAATACTTGTTGCTTATATTTTATTTTATTAATCACATATCTGACGTCTGGTAAGTTTAAAACTAATTTCACATACAATTTGTACTTATAAACATGTTTTTAAATGAAAATACAAAAATAAAAAAAGGTTATTATAGTGTACATTGGGCAGTAGGTATGTCCAGTCTCATTTAGTCTAAAACCGTGTTGTAAAACAATATACCATTGTAGGGTTTCCAGTGGTCTTGTGCCTTGTGGGAACATTAAAAAAAACATAATCTACATAAGCAATTTAAAACTATTTAGCTACCATTTAATTAAATGTACCACTTTACACCTGGGAACAAACAGATGTACGTTTGGAAGAAACAATGGTATATCATACAATAAGAATGGTTTTAACTTGTATGCTTTATTATAGTACACGGGCACTTTGAAGCGTATTTGTAAAAAAAAAAAAATATATTATTTTGGAATAAAATACCGTTTCATTAGGACTTGCCTGGATCTACTGGATCAAAGATAAAATACTGCCGATGTACTTCTTTTCACTATACGGCCAATACACATCAACTGAAACAACTATATTAATTACATTAATTATTATTAATTATATGCTAATGAACCGGTAAAGTGTAACATTTTTTTACTAGATTTAATACGATTCTTTAACTAGTTTTTACAAAATGACAAATGTATACTTTTGAAATAATGTTAAATAATAATTAGTTCGAAATCCATAAAAGATTCCTGAAGTTGTTTAGTTGGTCATGACTAGTTTAAAAAAAACATTTAGAATCAAACATGCAACACTTATATTACACTAAGCTAATTTGATACATAAAAATATCTGGACGGTAAATGTTATTAAATTCATTCAGACATTTAATGATCGGGGATAAGCCATTCGAAGGTAAAGCGTAAGACTTTTCTGAAATTTTTAGCATGATCACTTTTAGCTGCACAAATAATGATAATCATCAAAAATACTTATTATTTTAGGTTAACGTGCCAAAAAAAATGAGTAGAAGTAATTATAAAAACACACCGGCAATTTCTAGCACACTAATTAATTATAATTTTAATAAAAATACTATTATATTTTTAAGCCTAATGATAATTTACTATTATTCTAAAAATGTTAAGCGAAACCACTTATAAATATGAATAATTCAGATGGTAATGTTATAATTAATTTTTTTAATTAAATTAATGTTCTTGAACCGCTAAGTAGTCTGCGATTTTAATTTTAATTTTGTTAAGCAAAATGTGACGAGATATTCATCAAAACTACTAGTCTACTATTCAAATTATACAACGCATTATTTATGTTTTTAAGTTAATTAATAGTGTAGCAATTACAGAATACTAAATTCTAGTAAGTCTATTAGTTTGGATATTATAAACCTTCAATTACGTTTACTTTAATAACTTCAACTGTTTCTATGCTGTTTGTGCTGAAGCAATGATCAACATTGATGAAAGCCAATGAAACCATTTTGTTGGGCAATGATTTTTCGACAGTAATCCATTCGGTCAGATGTCATCAGCTGTAAAAGAGGCTACTGCTGATTTGCCATCCGGCGATGCTAAGTGCTAACACTACATCGACCGAACTCGCTACCGGTGACTGCGAACCGGATTATTTACACTGGACGGACGATGAAGAGTCGAACAGAAAAGAAGAAGCCGAAACTGGTCTTCAACTGTTTACCCAGCTACTACTGTTTAATCACGAAAATTGCACAAAAATATCTTGGTTTTTTAGTACAATGAAAGGTCTAGTTTCGAGTATAAATGATATTGGATACGCACCCTTTAAGTTATAATCGTCTTTCGAAGTAGCTGCTACAACTGTAAATATTTCGTTAAGGTTCTATCACGATTTCACTCGTGTGTTATTGTGTACGCATTTGCAGCTAGACTTGAAACTTATTTAAAACCAAAATTGACATAATCTACTATTTAAAGTAAAATAAATGAGGACGACATTCAAAATACTTATATACAGTCAATTATATAACGGGTAAGTTCGACGCGGAGTTGAAAAATTAATAGTGTTACCAAAATGTTTGCTTACAGTTTTATTTATGGGTACATTTTTGTACCATTTGGTCAATTGTTTGTCACAAGTCATAACAAATGGCCTACAATTTATAAAATTACAAGTCGTTCAACAAATGTTATTTTTAATGTTAAAAGTGATACAAATAATTCATTATTTTTATACTTTAAATTCGTTAACTTAGCAAGTACCAATATTTTTTATAAAAATATATAATATATTGTACGATAAAAATGTATACATTATATAATTAATTTTGCAAACAGTTTTTGGTTCAGTGACGGTCGAAAGATAGTAACGATACTATACAAATCGACAATAATGTGGTTATCGCCAACGAACGATAAACAACCGACTTTTACATAATAATTATTCAGTAAAGTTGAAGTAAAATCGCGTGCCTAATAATAAAAAATATTACTTATAGTATTACAAATTCTAGGTATTTAAAGAAATATTAAGAAAGTACATATTATTATACTTTTATAAGTCACGATAGGGCTTATAAATCAATGGATTAGAAAGTTGTATCGTTACATTTTTATGTAAATTTCAATTATTTTTTCTAGTGTCTTAACGAGACGACATGTGTTGTTTTATTACCAGCCAATAATAATATATATCAACTAATAAATACGATACTTGGAATTACAATGTTATTCTTGTTAGGCCAAACTAAAAAGTCATACAACATTATGTGTTTTATACGGGGGCGGCTCCAGAGACTTGGTTGGGGGGAGGGCTAAGTCATAATTTTCAAAAAAACTTTATAACACAATTAATATTTTAAACATAATATACCATGGTAATATATTTTATATTATTATATAGTTTATTTATACTTAATAGGTACTTAATAGGATAATAGGTAAACGATAATATAATATGTAATATTGTTTTTAACAATATACTATTTTTTTTTAATATGGGCCTGGAGGGGGGCCGTGGCCTCTAGGGCTCCCCTAGAGCCGCCCCTGGTTTTATATGTATTTTTACAAATTTTATAAACATATTATACAACTGTACTTCATTTTAATTGCCAGTAAGAAAAAACCTATACCTATGCATTTTATGGAGATCATTTTTTTTGCTTTAATCTTATATTTAAAAATGTGTAAATCTACTGGAATGGAAAATCTAGACAAACGACCGTTTATTATCTTTTGTCTTCACTCGGATAACTTTTTAGTGGTCCTAGTGCAACAAGTTAAGTTCTCGTTATGCCTACGACCTGAGGAGGAACATAAAATATAAGAATAGTATTACACGAATCGAGAAAGCGCAAATGTGTGTATCGCTAAAATTGTTCGAAAGCCGGTGAACATAATTATGCAAGTGAATTTTCGGACCGGCGCTTTGGCGTGTAATAATACAATTATTATTATAATAAACGGGCACACGATCTGAGGAGTCGGTCCGGAGAAGAGAGCGAGTGATTATATTTTTTGTATTGACCTATGGGCTACGGGGGTCGGACTCCGGGAGAGTTCAATAAACGATAATAAGATATTAACGGGGGGAAGGGAAGAGGGGCAACGGCTAATAGTCTACAGGATAAAATAATAGTATATATTATAATATAATATAGGTAAGAAAAAAACCGTGTTCTCGGCGGTGGTTGGCCGGTCGGTCGTTTGGGTTTTTTTTTTTTGGGCAACGTCGACTATACGTTTTGTTATTATATATATATATATTATTATTATACGGTGTGCTGGTGCAACAAGCTTGTACATACTTACATATTATACCGGTACGCGGACCGTATGTGTGTGTGTGTGTACGGTTGTCTGTGTGACCCGAAGTGGCCGACCGGCACACAGCTGAGAGATTTAACGGAACCCGTTGCAGGCCGTTGTTTGTGCGGTTGCCGGCCGGAGGAGTCCGGCGGTCCGCGGTGGAGGTGGCGGCGGCGGCGGTGGAACTAGGTCTTTGGGTAACCGCCATTGGCCGGGTGGGAGGCGGATGGACTGGCGGCTGGTTTTCACGTGGCCTCACGCCGCCAGCGCGGTCGAGTTACCTGCGTGCGTGCAGTATGTGATTTACGGTCTCGCCGGCCGCTAACCACACGCCGAGTGTCGTCGTCGTCGTTTCGTTTGGTTTGTTGGTTTTATTTTCGTTTCGTTTGTTTTGGCAAAGGCGAGCTGTACAAGCCCTCCTCTTGTATTTCGGTTTTGTTTCGGTTTCTTTTGCCGTCGCCGTACCCGTCCAAAGGCTGGTGAAACGCGCGCGCAAACGCCGTGCCCGCCGTCCGTCTCTCGCTCGCCTGTGTCCGCAACGGTCCGTATCCGTGCGTTCGGATCGCATGTATTATAATAATATAATATTTATTTTTATTGTTGTGCAAACTTGACCGCTTCTCATTCTTCTCGTCTTACTTGGCGCGCGTTCGGACGGATCCGCACATTTGGATTACACAAGTCGCCGGATCGCCGACCCATGGTGAGTACCTACCTACTTACCGTGTATGTTGTCCGTTTGTGCTACAAAAGCGCCCATAGACGTTTCCGCGTAGCCGCAAAACGCGCGCACCCGAGGTCGACGAACTCGCACCGTATACAGGAAACTTATCCCTAAATCGTGCGATATGTTTTGGCCAAAAAACTAACAAACTCAGCCGCTCCACCCGGCGCGGAGGTCGGTTGCGGCGGACTAGGTTAAGTAACCGATGGGTAAACGGTTCACATATCTGTCGTACGACCGTTAAAGTCTCCGAGCTGCCGTCAGTCTATCTACCGCTTCATCTTCGAATCGAAATTGCTTACAAGTTCCTATCGAGTTGGTCGTGCAAGATTAATGGCGTGCCATTTTTTCACGTACACAATTTGTATCTAATACACGTTTTTCGCTAATCTATTCCTAGTCGGCCCGTAGGATTGGCAAAAATGTACACCTATATATTTTTTTTTAGTTAAACAGGCAAAAAGCGGTTTGCGACACTAGTATAGTTTTTGGTCATTTAAAACGCTAATTTTGTTTTAATCAAAAACCTGTTTCAAACGTTTGTCGCAAACAAAATTTGTAGGCATTCCCCTAATGGTGTGTATATGCTCCTACTCGGTGTCTTGCCAATATATTAACCGTTCCCGACGGCAATCAACAAAAACTGGTATGTTGCTTTTGAAATTTAGATAAGCCTTTCCCGCTCGTGCGACCGAAAATATACTATGTATTTCCGGGTCTTATTAAGGCAAAAATACTCACCATACTTCCGGATGACTATCCGTCTCGGTTGTAATAACAACCAAGGCGGGTGTCTACCGATAAAAAAAAAAGCCCCGGTATGTACGAGTATTTTTTTATTTTTTATTTTTTTAATAACTTTACGATTACCTATTGTCCGTTGCGGCTGGCCGTGTAGCGCCCACCTAACTGTACAACCGTGTGAGTGAAGAGAGAAAAAACCCATCAACGGCTTTTTTTTTACGATCTCGTGAAATCATAACACTACACACAGTCCACACAAACCGGGGCCCCCTCCCCCCCACACACACACATTTATATTATCCCGCTCGGGTTTGTGTATCCAGGTTACAGCCGAATGTGCGGTACACCCCCTCGGGGCACCGGTTTCTTCTATACTTACTCGCGCACCTTTATAACCTCATCGGAATTTCTTTCTCCGCCCGCCACCGCCGCCGGTCTTGTTTATATGACACTCGTCAGCGTCGCCGTCGTCTATTCGTCCTCTCCGGGGCTCTTATATAAATCATTGTCTGTGTTTGTGTATTGGGAAGTTAGTTTTTTAATGACGCCGCGGTTTCCATTTTATTATAACGTGACCGCTGCCCAAGTAGCAGTAGCCGGTAACAAGACACGGCCAAAGTACAGTTAGCGTGAGCTATAAACTATTTAATAATAAAAATAATAACAAGTCCGGCCTTTGCCGGCTCTGGTTCTTCGACCTTTTCCCTGGCATAAAAATTATAGTAATTACTATACACGTGTATGTATAGGTATATTATATTGTATAAAATAAAGACGCTACGTGGAATCGACGCGGTTGTTTTTAACGACTTGAACGTTTTCTTATGCTTACATATTATATTAAACATTAGTACATTTAGGTGCCGTTTGTAAGTATAGGTATAAAAAGGTACTGCTATATTATGTAGTGGTATTTTAATTTTGAGCCCTTGCCCCGTAGTTTCAGCAGGAATCCGGCATTTAATATTAAATTAGATTTAATACGGCAGTCCAGTTAATTGCAGAGTACCTACCTACCTATAAGGCTACTAAATGTAATGTTATACTATATCAGTGACAGTAGTCCGCAAGGTAGACGTTTGAAGTATAATAGAACTATACAAATCGTAATATTGTTCGCAACAAAAACGCCATTTAAGCCGTTTAAAAGACTTATAAATAACTTAAATAAAAATTCAAATATTCAGTATGTGGAAATATTTTAAAAGTGAAAACAACCTACTAAGGATAAGCTCATAATTAATTATTCAATGGATGTTTGTGCCAACTATACTTTAAATATAAGTACAGTTTAACTATTATAGTTTAAACAGTGTTAAACTTTAAGATTTTTTTTACCCTATAATACGCTTGGTATAACTCTTGTTTTTTTTTTTTGCAAAAGTTGTGTTCTAGCACTATAGTGAGGGACTAAGGATTTTGATAATATGTATTTCGTTCTACTTAAGAAGGGCTTTACCATTAATTCAGGTCTACCCAGATTTCAGTTGTACAACAACTTTAAACACAATATTTACTTAATTAAACATTTTACACTAAAGCTATTTTTAGCATGTACTCGGTCAATAGCCACCAATAAACTATGCGTAGTAAAATTTCTAAACTAATTACATAAACTTAACGAGTAATAAATAGTAGAAAAAATTGAGTTTTATGACCTTGGTGAGTATAATATAAAAAAGGTAGTTTTTTTTTTATCAAAGTGTCAGTTACTATGTTTCGAATTTGTGTTATTGTCAAGCCGGGGACTAATGTGCAAGGAAAAAATTACTGAGAAACAAAGAACCCTTAAAATCTTTATTGTTTTATAATCCAACGGGCAGTAAACAATACCGACGATAATTATTCGGTTTAATTAATGTCGTTATGTCACGTTCGCATAGTACAACGGTTCGTATCGTTCGTGGGATAAATTAGCGCGACTAACAACGGCTTGTAAAATATTATCATACATTAAAAAAATGTCTTATTATATCATACGGAGAGAATAGAAATAATAACATTAATAGCACCCAATTATTATTCTAACGCATCGGTTGTATATGCCAGCTGATGAATCCAAGAAATATACCGTAGGGCAAACCCGTTTGTCTGAAAAAATGCCGGTAAGTCGCGGTTAAATAAAAATCAGTAATAGCAATTAAATGTACAGCTTGTGTAACCGTCTCGTATCTTAATTATTGCTATATCTTGTAAAACACTTGCGCTCGTGCAGGGCCTGGTCGGACCGAGCCATGAGTAGGGCCTAAAAGGAAAAAACAGAAAAAACAAGAAGAGGTCAAACCTAAAAGTTTTATCTATAAAATTTTGAAGTCTTGTAACTCGTTATTTTCAATTCTTACGCAAAAATTTAAAAAATATATATAAATATTTACCAAGTGTTTGGTTGAAAACATAAAGTTTGTTTTGGAAATAATATATTTGAAAAATTGTATGTACAAAATATCGTTTACATAATATTGTTCACATAATAATATATAATATATTGTGTTGAAAATATTTTCGAAAGCGTTTATTCGATATTTTGTAAATACAATTTTTTAAAACGTTTAATTTCGTGGTAAAAAAAACCACTATAACATAATTAAAAAATATTAAAAACATGTTTAGCGACATTTTAAAAATATTTACATTTTTAGCCGTTTGGGATAATATCGCCGGATGGGATGGATTGTTGCAGTTTTTACGTTCGTTTAGTAGTCTAATAATGATTCAAACACATGTATAGTGTTTTTTTTTTTTATAATTTCAACTTAATGTAATTTCAAAGTGGAACCTACACGGGTACACCTTGCGCAGACTGGAAAGTCCGTTTTCGGCTAAAACCCCGGGCCGACCATGTGCGTTCCGGAGAAATTCGACCCTTGACACTGTGTGTGTAAAAAAAAAACGCATTCGTGCTTCGGCGGAGGTCGTTGCCATTTCTGTTTTTTTTTCCACTCCAAACGAAATCTCTAGACGTCTGCCGCCGGCACATTTAAAAAAAAAAGACTGCCGGAGAGATGTATAATAGTAATAATATTATTATATAGAAATCGCGCGCGACCGTTCAAAAATAAACGTCCAAAATCTGACGTGTAACGGATCCCCCCGCGAGTCATTACGTTCTTATATGTACACGTGTTGTGTAAAGAGATTCGTCGGCGAGTGCACTTAATGTCCGAAGGTAAAAAAAAAAAAATAAATAAAATAAGATAAAATAAAAAACCGTGTACACAGATACTGCGCGCGGCCGTAATGATAATGATGATTTTCTTCTTATATTCTTCTCGCGGTTCGGACATCTCTCTATAATAATAATAATAATATAATATAATAATATTATTATTATTATATACTATACACACTCACGGGTATACGCCTATGCGCGGCCGGGGTGGACTGTAGAAAGTTCGTTTTTGTTTCAATGCTAGGCGGCAATTTGATAACGACATTCCGGTCCTATAAATTTACACGCCTATATACATATTATACATATGTGCGTGTGTGTAGGTACATGCATAATAATGATAATTATTTTTATGGCATACCTAAGTATATAATGTGTATGTGTAAAACATTATAATACTTATTAAAACGCCGCTGTCGTCGGATTATTTCGAGTTTAATTTAGTATGTGTATTATGTACATAATATAAAATGCATATTAAATTGAGGTAATTTAACGGCGGTTAAATTATTATTATTGTATTAATTGTAGGTAACCCATATAATATTAATAATATTATAGTATATAGGTGTCTATCAACCTGTATAAAAATATATAATAATAATTATACGCACCGGGCGCACGTTGCACTCGAGAAATAACCGGGACACGGCTCGGTCGAAACTCGTTTGTGTGTGTTCCGGTCGTGAGAGGGGCGGGTTAGGTACATATTAAAGAGGGAGGGGACGAAATTTTTTCATTAGTTTTTTTTTTCAAATAGTTTTTTTTATCGTAACGCTCATCGACGTGTACAACCACACGTAGTTTCGAAATTCTGTAAGAAATTTTTCAAAACTCGTGATGGGGGTGACCTACTAACAAAATATAATGGACTCGAAAATGATGAAAAGTGACCGCCGGCCATTTTTTATTATCTCCAGTTCAGAGTTGTCAAAATTTGGTTTTTTTTTTCGTGTAGTATCCACGTTTACATTTTTATCTCTCCGTTTAACATCAGTCTAATCTTTTTCTCACTCCAAACTTCAGTCATTATACTGAGGTTACCAAATCGTATTTTGTATATATT